GGACTATAAGCACTTTAAATTTGCATAGTACCACCCAGTCATCTGGTGGGAGTCACAAAGACCATGGCTATAAGAGCCATGTTAAGTAACTCACTGCACCACAATGATACCCTTGTGGGGGTGGGATCATAGAAATAGGGTGTACGAAACCTTAATGTGGGGACTGGTCAGTTTTGCCATCTGCTAGGCTTAAAATGAGCCATCTCAGAGGCAGAAGGGGGTATCTCACTATAGTCAAGAAAGAAGAGCCAAAAGTGGAGTGTATCCTCTGGACCTGAGATCCCTACACTGAACCTCTTCAATCCAGAAGACAGAGAGCTGTAACACCACAGACAGCAAGAGACAGTGAGAAGCAGCAGAACCAGTGGCAGAGAAATAGCAAGAGAGGCAGCAGAACCAAGAGACCAGCACAAGACAGAGCAGTGGGTTTCCCGACCCACAGTGAGAAAGCTGAGTGCCCTTGGTTAGGAGGTTTGCTGGTAGAGTGAGGTACCTCTCTGGGCACCTATCAGCAGAGCCAAAAGAACTGTGTAACACTTGCCCAAGTAGGACAGAAGTCAAGGGTCCACCAGCAAAGAAGCTGTGGTCAAAGAGAGGTGTGCCTGTGGCACAGCTAAGAAGATGTCCTGACTGAAACTGTATCCTGTGCTGTTTCTGACCCTGAATTGTAACCTGTTACTTTGCTAGTTCTGTGTGACCACCGCAACAAATTATCAAACCCAGCAGAGAAGTAAAGAGTGATGTGGGAAGGACAAATTGGTAAAAAGGTCAAATTGGTAAAAAGGTTGGAGGGTGGCAGTATGTCTGGCCTCCGCCTCATGGTAATCAGCCTTGGGCTACTGATCTTGATCCTTCTCCCCACTTGTAAAGTTAGAGGAGGTCAGACCCCGCCCCACACCCTTTTTGCACAATGATAAAATATCCCTCAAGTCTTCTGTTTCTCTTAAATGACATACTAGTAATAAATGGCCTGTCTGAAAGCCAAATTTAGAGAAGAAACAAGAAAAATTAACAAAGATACGAATTCCTATTAATTTTTTTCCTCTGTTTATTTTTTAGCCAGTAACCTAATTGTTAGTTTGTTTATCTACCCAACTCTACACTGAATATTAGCCAATTCATGAAGGTAAATAAATCTGGGTTGTATTTCACAAATCAAATATTTTACAATAGAATCTGCTCTCTGAAAATAATTGTGTATAACGACACTTTTGAGATCACAAAGCACTTGAAGATTTAAACCGATATTTTAACACAGAGATGCCTCTGTAAATGGCAGATTAATTCATAAATTTGTAATTGTTCCTCCCTGCTACCTGGTACAGTGTGAAAAATCTACTAGTTTTCAGTAGTGTTTCAGAATAAAGAATTTACAGACCATGTTAATTTATCATAGATAAAACTGATTTGCTTCAAGTTAGCAGGTCAACAGGCAAGAATCCTTTAACCTCTCTTAACCTAGTACCTCTGTTATGGAAAAAAGAAAATGAATGGTGTGATTACAGCCCAAGAAGAATATACTTTCTTACCTTCACTTTTTTATCTACGGAGCAGGTGGCTATGAATCTGTCATCTGTGGAGAATGCACAGCACAGCACTTCATCTTCATGGGCCTTGATTTCTACAAGTTTCTCTCCAGTTTCAGCTTTGAACACCTGAACAGCAACAACAGAACCTATAAGTCACTTAACCAATAAAAATCTTTCTTTAAAACATCTTAATCAGTTATTTTGTTATTTTACAAAAAAGAAATGAACCTTGCTAAAAATACTCCAAAAATCAGAATTTCTGCTATAATCTGTAAGTCTTAACATAAATAAATAGCTATCCAATAAACAGCATCACAATAAATGGAGAAAAGATAGAAGTTGTCAAAGATTTTATTTTACTGGGATCCACAATCAATATAGCAGTCAAGAAATCAGACGTCACATGGCACTGGGCAAATTGGCTGCAAAAGACCTCTTTTAAAGTGCTGAAGGGCAAAGATGTCTCTTTGAAGACTAAGTTGCGCCTAACCCAAGCTTTAGTATTTTGAATCACCTCATATGCATGTGAAAGCTGGAAAATGAAGGAGGACTGATGAAGAAGAGTTGACACCTTTGAATTGTAGTGTTGGCCAAGAATACTGAAAAGACCATAGATTACCAAAAGGACAAACAAATCTGTCCTGGAAGAAGTGCAGCCAGAATGCTCCTTGGAAGCGAGAATACCCAGACTTCATCTCACCTACTTTGGTCATGTTGTCAGAATGTCCATTCCTTGGAGAAGGATATTATACTTGGTAAAGTAAAGGGTCAGCAAAACAGGGTAAGACTTCAACAAGATGGACTGACAAAATGGTTAAAACGATGGGCTCAAGTACCAGGATTATGAGGATGGCGCATGACTGGGCAGTGTTTAGTTATGATGTACACATAAGGTCTCTATGAGTTGGAGACAACTTGACAGCACGTAACACCACCACCAGCCAGTGTTAAATGTTTGTAAATATCAATAAAGAGAAGTGGCAGAGTATAGCTTCAACTTCAGTTTTTGAAAATATTTTGGCAAATTCTTAACTAAACAGAAAACATTTCATTGAATATCCTTGCTTTCTGGGATTGAGAAGCCAAAATTAATAAACTGTAAGATGTACACATACAGAAATAAGGTATGCAGTCATAATCCTGCAAAGACTAAGACTATCTTAAATATAAAAATTTTAACTTATATGATCCTGTTTCCTTACAAATCCAAAGGCAGAGCCCACTTGTAAAGGAAATTACTCATTCATATTTTCTGAAAACAAATGAAATTTAAAGGAAATTCCTTAAAAGACCTTAGGAAATAATCTAGCCAAATTCCCATGTAGTCAGTAATCGCTGTCTCAGTTTTTTACATAAATAGGTATTTTATTTATTCTCTGCTTTTTCATCAGAGCCCTGCCCAATGTGCTATGAAGGCCTATGTCCTTTAATAACCAGCATTTCCTCATTAGCCTTTACTGGCACGTGGATGACAGATAACTGAATGGAAGGGTAAAAAGCACTATTCTATCATCTGGTAAGTTTAGAGTTATGAAAATGCATACTATTATCTTAAAAATCCCTAGAGAAAGGTTTCATAAAATGATCAAGAGATCTGTATTTCTCTGCTATTTCAAACATGTACAATTTCTTGAATTTAGGATTTCAACATATCCTAATCTGTGAAGTATGAGGTACATACCTCTCTGTTTTTCTCAAGAGATATGTTTTTTACCTGTAAAGTTTTATCAGCTCCACAAGACGCTATTCTCTGACCATCCTCAGAAAAGCAGGCATGGTAAACAGCATCTGTATGAGGGCGGACAACTAAGCGGGAGAGGTTCTTGATGTTTTTTTTGTTTCTGAACACAAGAAAAAAAGAACAGAAACCCAATAAATGAGAGTCAAAGTAAGTATTTTCTTTCAGTAATAAACTACCTTTTAATGTACTTACCAAAAAACCAAAACCTAATGCACTGTCATCGAGTCGGATCCGATTCATAGAGACCTCTCCTTGGGTTTCCAAGGTGGTATCACTACGGAAGTAGATTGCCCAACTTTCCTTCCAAGGAGTGGCTGGTGGATTTGAACCACCAGCCTCCTGGTTATCAGTCAAATGCCTTAGGCACTACACTACCAGAATTCCTACTTTAATGTACTTATTTTCCCAAAAATACAAAACTCTCCCAATTAAATGACCAACATGCAAATGACAGCACAGAGCACCTGAAGAAAAAGCATAATGTAACAAGTGATATTTTAACAGAAATGTTACCCTATGTCAAGCAACCTGTCATCTGTTATAAATGTCACTGAGTTGAAAGAAATTCAGTTAATTCAGTACATGTCACTTTCTATTTTCCCTTGATATATTAATAATGTTAACATGTTCACAGAAAACATGACATAAGGATGCTGTTGTTGTTATCACGTGCTATCGTGTTTTTTCCAACTCATAGTGCTCTTACATGACTGGGTAGCACTGCCCTATCGGATTTTCCTGGCTGTAATCTTTACAAGAGCAGATCACCAGGTCTTTATCCCAAGGAGCCACTGGGTAGGTTTTAACCACCAACTTTTAGGTTAGTAGCAAATGTTTAACCACCACACCACCAGAGTTACCATATAAAGATACCTGTTGAAAAATCACCACCTCTTTTAAAGGTAAAGATGCCGTAAACAAAATGAAATTCATTTCCTAATTAAAGTATGACACCACATCCACCATCATTATGATGATTCACTTTAAAACAGCTCTAAGTACAATTATTCAGATGGAGAAAAAAAAGATTAATCAATGTAATTTTCTTTATATCTAAATCTGCTGAGTACCAACTATTCCACTAGTGTTAATATTATATTATTTCTTATGGGCAAAGAGGATAAAGGAATTTAATGTGCACTTAAAACAGGAAAAAGTTTTTAGTGTCAAAAATTACATACATGCACCCTAGTCAAGACTTATGTCTTTGAGGTGACTTCCGGTAAGATGGAGGAATAGGCAGACAAGTGACACAGATACTCTTCAACGAAGAAAAGAAAAACCAGTTGACAGAGATACAGAAAATAATCCTGGAGCCCTGAGCTTTGAAAGGAACTATACAGAAGTGGATTAGGCACCAACTAGTAGAAAAACCTGAAGGAAAACAATGAGTACAAAGATGGTCGGAGCTGCAGACTGTCAGCTACTCTGACGGGACCAACAGCCTGAATATTTCCAAGTGGTGTTGGGACCTGAGAATTGACCTAAAGATCTGCCCTGGTCACCAAGGGCTGCAGGGACGACTATGCTGGTGGCCTATGACTAGGAAAGGCAACAGTAAGGAGGGAGACAACCAGAGATGTTGACTTTCTGCTGTCCAGAGGGCACAATTTTGATTGTTTACACACGGCAGCCATTTTGGATATTTAAAGTGACTGAGGGCACAGCCATTTTGAATGTTTATAAGTGGCAACAATTTTGGATATTTAAAGTGACCAACTCAGAAGGAAGATGGGGCAATCTACTTCCATAGTGATATTGCCTCAGAAACCCAAGGAGGGGTCCCTATGAGTCAGGTCCGACTTGATGGCACATAACAACAACAACAACAAAGTGCCCAAGGGCACAGCTATTTTGAATGTTTACAAGTGACAGCCATTTTGGACATTTAAAGTGACCGGGGGTGCAGTCATTTTGAATCTTTATAAGTGGCAACCATTTTGAATTTTAAAGTAATAGCATTCTCATTCGGATTCCAGGGACCTAAGAATAGGCTCTGTTTGCCAAGGTCGGCAGGGACATATGAGAGGCTGACAACAGGAAAGGAGACAGGTGGTGAGTGTATAAGTGCTGTCAATTAGCGAATAGAGGAGCGTAGTACTCTGCGTAGATAACATACAAAGAAAACAAAAATTGTGGGCAAATGACTCCAACATATAGTCACCAATTAAATATAAACACAAAAATGTCACAATGCCTCGGAGACAACAGAGCATCACAGTCCACATAAAGAGGCAAGATAAAGCAGGAGAAACAAGGGACCAGGATATGGACCCAAAACACATCCCTGAGGAAGACGTACCATTGGAACTCCCTGATAAGGAATTCAAAAGAATTATATTTAGGTATCTTCAACAAATTGAGAGACAGATCAAGGAAAACAGAGAAAACCCTAGAACAATTTCGAAAGACAATACAAGAACAAAATGACAAAATAAAGGAAAAATTAGAAATGATGCAAAATCTACACACAGAAATCCAGAAGATTAATACTAAATTTTCAGAAATAGATAACACATTGAATGGGCAAAGGAGGAGAAGGGAATCAATGGAAGACAGAATTAGTAGACTGAAGGCAAATATCTAATACTTCTTTGGAAAGTGATCAATCAGAAAAAAGATCAAAACAAAATGAAGAAAGCCTAAGGTTCATGTGGGATATCATCAAAAGGAATAACCCACATGTAATCGGAATTCCAGAACAGGAAGACACAAATAAAACCACAGAGAAAATTGTCAGAGATTTGTTGGAAGAGAATTTTCCTGGTATGATGAAAGATGAGGATATATCCTTTCAGGAAGTCCAACGAACCCCAAACAAGATAAGACTCCAAAAGAAAATCACCCAGACATAACATCATCAAACTCACCAAAACCAAAGACAAAGAAAGAATCATGAGAGCAGCATAGGAAAAACAGAAAGTTACCTACAAGGGGCAACCAATAAGACTAAGCTCAGATTTAGAAACTATGTAGGTGAGAAGACAATGGAATCGTATATATAAAACACTGAGGGAGAAAAATTTCCAACCAAGAATTATGTAACCAGCAAAACTGTTCCTCA